AGCATTTCTAGTGCATTACTGATTTTTACAAGATCATCTAAGGTACTTCAGAGTTTTGAATTTCTTCCACAATACAGTGTTTTTTAAACGTTCTTCTCCGCCTATGACTTGCTACTGGTCAAAAGCTGTTTCATACTGACGAGTGCCTTAATTTAAAAGCTGATAAGATCATTGCCAGCAACATCACAAGAAATTACACTGACAACAGTAATATTAGCACAGTACCCTTGGGAATTGCTCTTCTGAACTACCCATACCCCTGAACTTCTGGCCTGGGATTCAAAACTTGCATTTCTGACAGATCTTGTGAGGGATAAGAAGGCTACACATAATATAACCCAGGAAAGTAAGGCTTTTGAAAGGGTTCTGATCCACAGATGCAGTTAGCAGAATTACTGAGATATCCAACTTGTAGAGCAGATGTGGGAAGAAAAGCAAGTGATGAAAGTGACTTTTTTTTTGCGTAAGACAAAAACAAAGCCCTTCTGAAATATTTACTCTGACAACAAAACTTGCATAAAAATAAATTAGGGTCACTATTGGCAGCAAAAGCATAGATGAAATACCAACACAGGAACACAGGCATACACTAAACAGCATGTTTCCATTTCCATGCTCGGCTTGTTCAGGAACCAACAGCAGCATCAGTAGCAGTAGTAATCACCCCTTCTAACAGAGAACACATGCCTACACCTTAATTTCCTTTACCAGGAATGGCTATTTCAGGCTCTGTCCAAAAACAAACACTGGTGAAGGAGAGTAGGCATCTTGGCCTTAACGTCTTCAGTCTCGGGGGAACGCCACTGTTCATATCTAATCAAACCACTCAGCCTAATCAGAGCGCTAACATTCCAGTCTCACATGGGAAAATTCCCACTCATTCACAACTACAGAATGAATTTAATGAACCTGGAAGCTACATAAGTAAATAAATAAATAAAACAGATTTGAAACATTAGCTGGGTTCCTTCAGATGCCATAAACCTGGATGCTGAGACTTAGAAACATAGAATCATAGAATCACCAAGATTGGAAAAGACCTACGAGGTCATCCAGTCCAATTGTCCACCTCTCACCAATAGTTCTCACTAACCCATGTCCCTCAGCATAACGTCTAAACGTTCCTTGCACACCTCCAGGGTAGGTGACTCTACCACCTCCCAGGGCAGCCATTCCAGTGCCTGACCACTCTTTCAGAGAAGCAGTATTTACTAACATCCAGCCTGAATTTCCCTGGCGCAGCTTGAAGCCATTCCCTCTAGTTCTATCATCAGTTACACAGCTACACCAGAGAGAAGAGGCCGACCCCCAGCTCACTACAACCTCCCTTCAGGTAGTATAGAGAGCAGTAAGGTCTCCCCTGAGCCTCCTCTTCTCCAGAATGAAAAATCCCAGCTTTCTCAGCCGCTCCTCACAAGACTTGTGTTACAGACCCCTCATAGTTTCATTGCCCTCTCTGAACACACTCCACAACCTCGATGTCTTTCTTGCAGTGAATGGTCCAAAAATGAACACTGTACTCAAGGTGCAGCCTCACCAGGGCTGATATCATAAGCATTTATGGAAGCAAAAAGATAGCTTCCTTCTTACGTCCCTGCCCACATAGAAAGATGGGAACTAGACAAAAAGTTAGAAATTGCTAAAAATATATTTTGGAGGTTGTGACTAGTCCTTTGAGATACTGCATGTACTAGCCTTTGAGCTGAAGCAGCAAGTAGCATGCAGGCTACATTTGTGCAAATCCTTATCCAGTATCCAGAAAGAAGCAAATTCAGATCCACATCAAAACACCTGTATGTGTTCCAGGTGACCAAGATACCACTATAGTCACTAGAAATTTAAAGGCTGTTTAAACTCACCTAAAACTTGATCACTGCCTTTGGTCAGCTGAATTTTGAAGTTTTATTCTGGAAGCTGAATCTACTCCTATGTCTCTCTGTGACAAACAACAGAAACTGAGCAGCAATAAGTGATTCTAGCAATAATCAGACTTCCTAATGATTCTACCCAGAACTCAGGGTAGAGTCATGGGAAGGCTGAACGTGTGCTCTTACGCTGCTGAAACAGGTGGAAAAACTACTTTTCCTTGATTTGACAGGTCATGTTACAAATATACTTTTTGATCTGGTATATAGCATCGTAAAATGCCCAAGTATATTGTAGCAGATTCTTAGAAAGGAAAAGTAACTTTCACATGCTTTTGTGCATTGTGATTGATCATTAAAACTGTGATTTGTTTTACATGTGGGGCACTGGTCTTTTTCCACTTGTTTTGCTAATAGATTTTATTAATAACTGTTTTTTGAGATTAATGTGTCTGACACCAAAAGCAAAGTCTTTAGGAACTGCAATAGTTAAATGAATCCAAAGCTTTTAACTCAACTTGAACATATTATGTTGAATAAATTAAGTCATACTATCTGATACTGACTTGGTGGTTCAGAGTAGGTATTCAGACTAGGAAAAACTTCTTTACCAAAAGGGTGATCAAACACTGGAAGAAACCACCTGGAAGGGTGGTTGGTGCCCCATGCCTGTCACTGCTCAAGAGGTATTTGGTCAATGCCCTCATTAATGTGCCTTATTCTGAAATAATATAGTCTAGTCTAGTCTAGTCTTGTCTATTCTGGTCAAGCCAGGTCATTTAGGAGATAGCAACACTGGATCTGTTATATTGACAAGCAGTTATATACAACCAAAGAGAAAGCAATTTTTTCCTGAAGGTGCTATCTTTTGGAAAACTTTGCTTGTCTGATCAATAATTAAAGAGGGTGTACTCTGACTGTCAAAAAAGATTAAGAGGGCCTTGTGAATCTTGTGAAGTATTTTAAACACAAGTGCAGTCACAAGAAATTACTTGGCCTGTTCATCTCCTAAAGTCAAATGTTCATTTATTAGAGTCAATACTGAAATATGTGCACTTCCAGGGGTTGATTCTTCTCAGTTGTTAGACTGTGCTGCAGATCAGATAAATTGTTTCTTGCTTCTCTGCATTAATTAACAGGAAGCTGAGATCACAAATACAGATTGAATTCTTGTTTGAGATGGTCACAGTTGATTGAAATTTTCTCTTCCTCTCTCCTTATTTGGAAACTAAGCGATCTTAAAAACAGAACTTCACAGTTATGTACTGGAGGTAAACCACAAACATGATCCAAGGGATGGTAGACCTCTCCTACAGGACAGACTGAGAGAGTTGGGGCTGTTCAGCCTGGAGATGAGAAAGTTGCAAGGTGACTTGAGAGTGGCCTTTAAAGTATCCAAAGAGGACAGGAAAGAAGGGGACTCTTTAGCAGGGTCTTTGGTGACAGAACGAGGGGAAATGGCTTCAAGCTCAAAGATATATTTAGGTTGGATATAAGGAAAAAATCTTCTAAGGTGAGGGTGGTGAAGCACTGGCACAGGTCGCCCAGTGATGTGGTTGACTGGAGACTTTCAAGATGAGCCTGGATAAGGCCCTGGGCAACCTGATCTAGCTGTGGTGTCCCTGTTCATTGCAGGGCAGTTGGATTAGATGGCCATCAGAGGTATCTTCCAACTCTAAGGATTCTATGATTTTATGATTCTATGACTCTATATACACAAACATGTGAGACTATGTTGTCCTATCACTGATGCAGGGTTACAATAACATTATCACAAGGTAAGTAAAAGACTGTGCTTTCTTTTTATGCCTAAGAGATTGGTTGAGAGTGATGAAACTAGTCCCCACTAGACCCCTTGCACACAGCATCCAATTGTCACATGCCTGAGTTCCTACTATGCAATGGAGGTGTCAGTAGACTTTGAGAATGTTCAAAACAGACCTGGGCATGGGCCCTACTAATAGCACAGTAATGCATCTTTCCTTCTTCTGGCTTTTGAGCAACATAGGCTGGTTTAGAAAAATAAGCATCTGTTTTCATGCCAGATACTACCAATATTTTCGTTCATATGAATATGTTCAGAATAAGCATTGTTTTGAGTCAAAGACATTCTCCTTTTGGAAACATTTTATTGTGTAAAAATTGGAGCTAACATTATTACCACTGCGCTCTCCGGATAAAATTGTTTTCATGAATGTAAAGACTTGCATAAATAAATAGATACATAGATAAATAAATAAATAAATAGAAGTAAAGAAAAGCCCTGAGCCATATCATGAGATTTTTACTTCATTAAAATCAATGACAACAAATTTATTGGCCTCAGTGGGACTGGGATTCCACTGCAAATGAATTTGTGCATGCAGCTGATAAATCAACTGTGAGCATCTCTCGTGTAATATCTGAACATGAGAGAGAGATGGACTTCTACAAGCTAATTGGTACATGTCTTCACTAAATTCAATATCTTCTTCCCTTTTGTTCTCCTTTAAAAATATTTTCCTCTTGGAGCAATGTATCACAGAAGAAAATTATTCTGCTGCTCTTCTTCACAACATTACATGTACTGAGTGGATGAACCACTCTGTAAGAAGTACAAGACAACAGGGAATATTTATCTGCAATGCAAAGCAGATAAAGCATTCAAGACAAAGTTGCCAAAAAAGGGAAGTATGCACATTGACTGAATAAGCTGAGCATCATGGTTTTCAAATCTATCTGTTCTGTAGATGTGTTTAGAAATTGTCTTTAATCCGCTTTATATTTACCCATATTTCTGCATATGTGTTTGGGAAAGTTTATAAACTGCCATTTTTGGATTCGTGAAATGTGGAAAAAAAAAAGTAAGTTAAAAATAAGCAGTATAGGTAATAACTGAACATGAAGATATACTGGGAAAACATGAAGCAAATAGTGCATATCGAAGGAGTTAAATTAACACATGGTAAATACTCATCATTATTCTGAGAAAATGAAAAGTGATTGGGACACTCACTCAAATTAATGAGAAAGAAAAAGGGATAGGGAAAGGGAAAGGGATAGGGAAAGGGGAAGGAAAAGGAAAAGGAAAAGGAAAAGGAAAAGGAAAAGGAAAAGGAAAAGGAAAAGGAAAAGGAAAAGGAAAAAAAGACTGACCTGGTGCGTCTCTAAGAAAAACAGGTGAAAGCCCATCCTTCCATCCTTCTTCCTGGAAGGAGATGCTCTAAGCTTCCTAGAAGCAGACACTCCAGAGGTGGCTAACAACACCATCTGTTGATTTTTGTGCAGTGTTTTAGAGATCAGTCCTCTCACTGAAGAGTGAGGTTAACAGATTCATCCAGGTTACTCATTCTCAACTGTTTCTAGTTTAACTAACATGCAAAATGCTATGTGTAAAAGCCATGGTTTGGAGGCATTGTTTCTACATTCCTTATTTTAAATTTTAGCTGCTGTATTTTTTTTCCTCTTAATCCCTATAATAATCCTGTTTTGAGGCATGCTTAATTATTTAACTTTGCCATTCTCTCAGGGAAATTACAGACTAAATTGCATGCTTGTTATTAATACAAAGCACCATTTTGTTAGCTAATTTAGAATTTCACACCCACATCAAACAAGCAGATGTCTATAATCTATTATTTGTGATCCTGCTTAACTGCACCAAGAGGACAGAAGCCACACTTGTGCTCTTCCACCCTGCTGTGCGGGCACCATCCAGCAGTCAGGTCCCCTCAGAACCCAGCCCCGTACAGGCAGATACATCATCACAGCCTTTCTCCCTTAATGCCACATTCAGTGGACGCAGCCGGCTCTTCTTTTCTTTTCCAAAGTTTCTTCACATTCTGTTACTACTGCATGATTGCCACTGGATACACACTGGCTCAGCATTTGCTTCTCAGCTTAACAACCAGGTTTGGACATCATTTAAAACCAGTTCTCAGGATTTCTTCCAGAAAAGGGGAAAAGACAAACTCTCCTCTAGGTTGGTTTTGCTTTTAATGCAGAAATAAGCAGCGTATATTTATTTCAAAAGGTGAAATGTCCCTTTTCTTCATTCTTGGCTCTCACATTCATTTTGTATTGCAACTACTTCTTTTTAAGCCCTGTGCAGTACAGTGTTGTTCCTACTGTAATGCTGTTTAATGTAGCAACACAAACCTGGCAAGTGACCTGAATTTCACACATCAGCAGCAACCACACAGGAGACACAGGGACCTGCAACAAGAATGTTTTGTTTCATTCTTGGTGTGCTGATTCCTGCCCATGATCCAACTGCTCCCCCATCTGACCTTTCATGCAATTTTCATTGCTTATTCTTTGGAGGTCGTCTTGATGCATGACATGCCTCCTGTTCCTCATGGACTAATGTATGTGCCACATTTGATCAGCTGTGTGAGAGAGTAAACTGAGTCATGTCAAATGAATGTTGTGATCTAAAGACGTATAGGGTGTCTTCAGGAGTGTCAAAAATACAGTGTATAAGTGAGACTCCGGCAAAGCCTTACTCTTCGTTGGCTATTTTGCTTGGACATTATAGAACTATGATGTTTGTCTTAATAGAACTTCTTTATTATATTTTTTCAAAGTAAACAAGACTCTCAGCACAACCATTTCAGCCATTTCAGTGGCTGAAATACTGGAACATATGACATGGGGCACTTAGAAGACATTTCTGGCTGGTACTTTGCTTGAAGGAACGCATATCTTGTGGCAAGGGGCTGTGAAGGGTTTACAGATTCTCCAGCCGGAGACAGCTAAATGTACTGGATGCTGAGCTACTGTTTTTTGACGTTGGGTGCTCGTATTCACTCTACCAACTGAATATTTGTTGCAATTAGTTCCTAAAATGTGTTTGCTGTTCCTCTCCTGTATTATGGACTCGGCTTTAGACGTGCCTCATCTCATTCAAACATGAGAAGAGAGGTTGAGATGAACTCGACAGAGATGACACAGATCCAAATGAGATTCCTGTCAGTTCTGCTGCCGGTCACATCTTAACCTTACATGAGAAAGAGGACTAACTGCCCATAGACAGAGATAGCATAACCCTAAAATGGTACCTCTAGCTGTGGGACATGCTTTCACAATGCATAAATGTCTCTACTGATAGACTCCTGAGTTAAAATCTGTAAACATACCTGCCATCAGTAGCAAAGCCTATCATTATTAATGCTAGCATTAGCAGTCATCAACATTAAAGTTAGAAGCTAGCAATGGAACATCACATCTGGATTTGTAACAGAAAAACATCAGGACTAAGGAAGTGAAATTACATTCTCAGGAGTGAATTACTCACTACGTGTATACAACCAACAGGAACAGAATTGTAGGGTGAGGAAAATGTGTTCAAACTTACCAACAAAAATAAATACATGAAAGTAAGATGTGAACATTAGCTACATTTCCTTGACAAAATCTCCACATGGGGGCCTGAAATCCAACTAGCGTGGAACATATTATAAGCGTTTTGACATATTATCACCAGCAAAGACATAGAAATGGAGCCCCTGAGGCAAGAGAGTTCAACACTGCTGAGCCATTTGGGCATTCTTCATAGGGCTGGAAAATTCCTCCCCTTCCCAGACATCCTATAAGGTTGTATAGAGGAAAGAAAAGAGGATGGAAGATGAGGGAAGAAAGAGAGGAAATGGAGGATGTTCTGCCTTGAAATCAATGAAGCTACTGCAGGGAATCACGCACACAAAAAGTTTGTGCTCATGATGAAAGCAAAGAAACTCATCTTGATTAGCTTATTGATATATGCTCTTGACAGAACTGTTCCCCTTCCTTTCTTTCCTATTTTCCCCTTGAACAGCCTCCTCACTCTTAGATTTGCGATTATCCCTTGTGCCAGACCCAATGTTCCCCCTCATACTCAGTCAATCTTTACAAGCCTGTTTCCTATTCTTGGGACCCCCTGACAAATCCTGACAAAACTACAATTCCCCTACAATCCCCAGTCCTCTGCGTAATCCATTTTTCCCTTTCCTCCAACAGTAGTGACAGCCTTTGCTGCCATGTCTCCCAGACTGTTCCAAACACATTTTGAGTTCTGCATACTGCACAGGGACTCTGGAGCTCCACTCCAGAAAGGCTTTTCCAACCCCCTGACAAATCCTGACAAAACTACAATTCCCCTACAATCCCCAGTCCTCTGCGTAATCCATTTTTCCCTTTCCTCCAACAGTAGTGACAGCCTTTGCTGCCATGTCTCCCAGACTGTTCCAAACACATTTTGAGTTCTGCATACTGCACAGGGACTCTGGAGCTCCACTCCAGAAAGGCTTTTCCAACTCTGCAGTGGGGCAGCATCTGCAAGGGGGCAGTGTCCTACGCAGGCAGGATGGCAACGGGGCCACACTCTGCTCACAGGAGATACTATTGCAATTGGGAGGTCCAAGCATGATTCATGGCTTCCCTATCAAGCTTCCTAAGTATGAGCAAGGAACAGCACTTCTCTTTCATGCATGTGGACATGTCACTATGCACGCATACAATCACACAAGAGTACTTGAGAGAGACTGTAGTGATGAATGTGAACTAGTCTTGAAGGCTGCAAAGAGTGGAGTAAAAGGGAAGAGTGTTAGAATTTTGAGTCTATTTTAATAGCAATAGAGGACTGCAAAGGAGATAAAGAGTTACTGTGCTGCTTACAGAAGATTCAGAATTTGGAAGGAAAAAAAAAAAAAGGAAATAGCTTTGAAATGCTGTCACAGGAGTGCCCACTTTGAAGTTGTGCTGAGAAACCCATTCTGGAGTGCTTATTCTCCTGGGACAATTCCACCCAGATGTGATAGCAAACACTGTGATGCTCAAGACCCAGTTACAAGACCTTGCCATGAGGGAGCACTACATGAGTGGGAATGAATGGAACCAAAGTACATTTCAATCAATGAAACTATGCTGATGTGCTTTGATTCAAACAAAGAAACTTGGGTCTCTACTGATGCCTCCAAGGATGGCCTTGGGGCAATGCTGTTCCAGGAGAACAGATGAGATGCACTTGACTTTCTATGGCATCTGTTACAAGAATGATGACTGAGGCTGAATGAAAACATGCCAGACTCTAAAGAAAGTTTAGGCATGGTCCATGTATATATGAAAATTTCTAGGCATATGTAAACTTTGTAGCTGAACAGAAACTGGACTTCATACATATATAGATGCACATATTTAAATACACATATATTATGGATTCTGAAACTTCTCTTTGTATAGTTAAGCTTAATGATGTCCAGAGGGAGCAGATTCTTGCAAACTGGATTTCCTGAATGAGGAAAATGATTAGTTCCCTTTTACACTGTAAGCCTGCAGTTTAAATGCAGATTTTTGTCAAGGGAATTTTGCCAGTCATGAAGTGTGGTGGCCTACAGACAACCTCTGAAGTCTCATGCCACCAGGCTACTTCAATTTTAATGCTTCATGAGAAAATGTTTCTATCTCATCTTACTTATGCAGCCATTCCTATCCTTGCCTTGTTTTATTGACAAGAGTCCACCATGAGACCAATTGGCTAAAGAAACTATTTCAGATGCTAACCACCAGGACTATCTTAGTTTTACACATCTAGTGGACATAAATGCTTGTCATCTTGTTTTATGAGAACTACAAAATTTATTAGATCAGACAGGTCGTTAAGTAATTTTTTTCTTTAAAAATGTCTTTGATTCAGTGAAGTCAAATTTATGCTCTGTTATAGCGTGCTAACAGCTATTTTTTTGGCTAGGAAAGTCAGCAATAAATCTGCATTTAATAAACTGACAATAGATCTCAATGTGAAAGAGATTCAAGGCACTCATTTTTCCAGTTACTTAAAAGCAGTGAATCCTTGCAGAATTGCAAAACTACTTCAAAACTAAAAACATATTATTTCTAGAAACATCTCATTTATTACAGCATATAATTTTGCTTAGTGTGGGGGTTATTTTAAAAGCTGCTTAGTAACTGCCTGGCTCAGCAGTGGCAGCATGCTTTCTTCACCTGCCAAAGAGGAAACAGAATTTGGGACTGCTCTTCTGTGAACACTGTTCATGAATAAGTACACGAATGCGTGCACTCCCTTCTCCTCCTGCAACCCCCATTCTCTGCTGATGTGCACACATGCAAAGAAGAAAGCCTTGGAGTATGGTAGAACAGGTTGTCTAGAGAAGCTGTGGAATCCCCATCCTTCAACACTGTCAAAACTCAGCTGGAAAAGGCCCTGAGCTGTCTCATCTTTCTCTGAGGCCTGCCCTGTTTCGAGCAAGTAGTTAGAGTTGGTTCCAGGATGTACTTCTTAATTGTAATTCCAAGGACACAAAGAGGACAAACAAGTTCTTCTGCACGTTACAAGGCTGGGTGCTAAAACACAGTGACTGTGCATAAAAGTTGACTGGGCAGGTCTCTCTCCACATGCTCAAGCAAAATGCAGAAGCAGCAAAGACACCAAGCACAACTTCACAAGGGGAATGTTCACACACAGGTTCCAGGTTCCCAACCCACTGGGAAGTTCTTAAAAGACTTGAATGAGGTATCAGGTGATGGATAGGCATTCTTACTATGGCAACCATTCCCTGATGAGGTGTTGTAATAGCCTTGTTCTAATTTCTGAAATTCCCTCTAACCATATGCTTATTGATAGCATTTGGACTCAGTGTCTCACAGCTTATTCTTAAGATCTTTTGGCCATAGATAAATTAAATAACTCAGGTGCATCAAAGGACTGTATGTAGCACCAAAAAGTACTGGTTGGTAAAATGCCTTTGTAAGCTTCTTTATAACTCAAATAAATTTATATTAACATATTCCACTTTCAATGACCTTTGATACTCTAGTAGGATTCTGGAAGACAGATTCAGAACAAGATGAAGATCAGATTCAACAAGATTACCCTGCTGGATAACTATTTACTGCTTGGAGCAATTATGAAGCTTATCACTTCTATCACCATCTTCCACAGTGTCACAACAAGGTCTTTTATACAGTTTGGTTTCCAATTATTTTCTGGATTTTTTTTATTGAGACTATATGAGGGTGCTTTGCTGCTTTCATACAATTCTATCAACTCATTGATCTCACAAGTCAATGCCTTTTTTTTTTTTTTTTTTTTTTTTTTTTTTTTTTTTTTTGCTAAAATGCTTTCATGTTATTCTGCCTCTTCATAGTTCAGCTTTTCCAGTTGATTTCCCAGTGTTTCTTCTGTTTTTCAGTCAGCTTCAAATGCTTCTTGGTCTTCTTGGCCTGGTTGGTTGGGGCCCTGGGCAACCTGATCTTATGCCTGACTTAGTGGTTGCCAACCACAACCTATGGCAGGGGGGTTGGAACTGGATGATCTTTGAGGTCCCTTCTAACACAATCCTTTTATGATTCTATGATTTTCCAATGTGTCTGACCTAGATTAGACTCCAATGTGACAAGAAGAGGTCAAGGAGGAAGAAGTACTGAAATCACAAGGAAATTGTCTGTTATCTGTGATGCAGAAGATGAGGTTCACATTGCCATGAATGGCACTCCCTCTCAGCCCTTCTGGAGACAGTCATAAGGGTAGGAATATCACCTTTCAATATCTGAGTGGTATGCTCGAATTTTCTTTTCACATCTCTCCAGTTTCAAGAAGAACCCAAGTGAATCACGCTGTCTGGCTATAAAAAGGGAAACTAAAAGAAATGTCAGATGTCACTGTGGCTTTTTCATGTTATCATTCAGTTGTTCAGACAGGAAGTAGGCCTGCATCCTACTCACTGGGGCAGACAGAGGAGACAGCTGCCTCCAGAGTCTCTTTACCGGGAGGGACTGCCCCTTTCGGAGCAGGGTTGTTTCCTTTTCTTTTAAACACAGTTTTGTTTCAGACCTCTGTTCTGCAAACCTAACTTACCCTCCAGATTTTTCAGAAGATTCCACACGTAAAAGGCAATGTTTCAAGGTGTTCTGTCTGCTGAAATTTGGTCTCATTTTCATTTCAATCCAGATCTTAAGCCATACTCACCTACTCCCAGACCACAGGGAATGGTGGAGATGAAAAATATTTCATTTTATATTTGGAAGCCTGATTCTCATCTCAACACAATAATTAGTAAGAGAACCACTGAAATCCACGGTAAATGAGCTTAAATAAAAAAGCTCAGAATACATTAATGCTTAAAGTGAAGGAATAAAACAGCCTGTCAAGATAGGCTCAGATTTCTTCTTAGGCTTGGTCACTGAAAACATTTCACACTCACACTGTCCTGCCACTCAGAATAAATGGCAGTTGCAGATCCCCCATGAATATTTGTTGCCCCAACTAAACTATGAGAATGTATTTTACACATCTCAAAGGATCCACTGGCCGTTCTGCAGTCAAATTCTTGCATCCTATTCACAAATGCACTCCTAGTTTGTAAGGTTCAAAACAACAATGCAGTACAAAAGCTGAAGAACCTGGCAACTTTAATGGATATGTCATAGTCTCTGTGTTAAAGAGAGTTGCAAAGAGGTAAAGCAGGCTATTCAAATAGCTGCAGAATCACTTCTCACATGCATGATTGACAGCTAGAAAACGATCAGGTATCCTCAAGGAGGCACTCATTTCTTCTCTTCAGGAAGACTGAGTTGCTGCCTACTCCAAATCATCCTCTTTCTACAGACTGTGGTATTAAAACTTAGAGACCAGTCAGTGGTTAGACCAACAGTATCTTCAGTGGATACCCTCTTTGGTTTTGGCCTTCCTTTAATGCTGAGATTGGATTTTCACAGGCATAAATAAATTCCTACAGATTTGAAAGTAGTGCCTAGTGAGCCTGTACTGGTTCTTGCCATTTAATGATAGGAATCTGAGCTTGGAGTCTTAACATGTAAAGGATGCTTATGACTAGCTCACGTTGTCTCTCGTTGGCTAACAACATATAGAGAGGACATGGGTCACTTAGGGCTATCACAGACGATGGCCTCCAACATGAGGCATCCCTCAGATATCCACCCTGTTGTCCATGTGCTGAGCTTTGTTAGTGAGCCCAGCCAAAGCTCAGACTTAGAGAATTACCAGCTTTCTGAAAGAACAGCATTATAACAGTGCAGACAAAGCACTCCTATGTGCTTTGTGCTGTGCAAACTGAGAGACCAAGTGGTAAATGTGTCAGTTTAGGAGTGTTTTGGATTCAAGAAGCAATGGAATGTCCTTTATATCTTTCGTAATAAGAGTCTGTTTGGATTAAAACGATCTCCATGTAAGCAAAAAAAAATTACCAGTCTTCCCATTTTAAAACTGCCAGAGCTTCTTATACAGGCCTCTATTCAAACAGTGTAAGGGAAGAGGAATAGGGGACTTTTTTGTTTAATTCAAATGACGTGGTGCGTATTTCTAACTTAAAAAGCAAGACAGAAAATGAACTCTGTCTGAGGCAAAAGATTTAGAAGAAAAAGGAAAGTATGAATGTAGGCTGTGGTCTGAACACAAAGGCAAGGCAAATGAACACTTTTAGTCATTGACAGAACATGCATTTTTATGAGTGTTAACAGAAATTTGGTGTGATGATTCCTATAATGACATCTCAGCCAATACAGCTGGTCTACAGGCAGAAAGGAAGGAAGCTGGATTCACAGTGGCATCTATGCAAAGTACTCTAAACATAATTAAAAAACAATTTCATGCGTTCTGGGAAGATCTGAGATTGACAGCCCAGTACAGTTGCGAACCATGGTTGAAAACAAGGAAATTCCAACAGAAGAAATGCAAATTTGTACGTCATCTAAATATAACTGTGGAGACAGCTATCCTACCAAAACCAGGAGCCAGGAAAGCACTAAGAATTGGTCAGTCTAGACCAGGACTGTTTCTTCAAAACCTGGCAAAGCACAGTTGGAGAAGAAATGGCAAAAAGGTGAAGGTCACTAAGCACATTTTTGCCAGAAGGAGGATGCATGGAAAACATACATTTAAGATAAAATGATTAAATACAGTTTATTATCTAAGGCTTAATTCTCAATTACCACTGCTACAAAATCTCAACTACCACTTTCCTTCTATGCAACTTCCATTCTTCTCCCAGCAGAAATATCACCCTCTGGCTACAGGAGAAAGTACCAGAATAACTTTCACAGCACTTCCCTCTCCCTCCAAATCGAACCGATTCAGCTTTCCAATTTTTCTGTTATACTCCAAAAGGTCTCTCCACGTACTCACCGCACTAAGTGTAAAGGAATCTGGTCACCTCTTCCTTCCCCTTCTGGACAAGATGTGACACTAACCTGTTTATTTTACTTTTTAATTTTATTTATCATTTTTCAACTTTTTTGCTCTGCTTACAGTCTTGTCTGCTGCTCTCTCCACCTCTCACTTCACTCAGTAACCCAAATCCAGACCCTATGCTTGCCTCTTGTTACACACCTGATGACACTTGACCCAATCTGGCTGCCCTTCCATCTCCACGCTCCTCTAGGCTCCCTTCACAGCCTTCCCCTGCTATAACTTCTCATGGCAGCACTCCCATCTTAAAGGCTTCTGTCCTCAGGTTTTCCCTCTTGCCTCTAGCAGTACATGGCAGGACTGCCCTGCTTCTGCCCTACTGCAGACACCAAGCTATTTTCTCCCTCACATCCCAGCCCGGACAGAGACATGCATTTTTTTCTGCTGTTACTGCTTCTGAAGGCATGTTTTCATAAAGATGCTTTTTTTTTTTTTTTTCTCTCACATGGCCTTCCCTTTCTCTTCTTCTTCTTCTCTCCTGCACTTTTGAATAATCTTGCATTCAAACCCTTTCTCTGCTCCCAAATTGCTCTCAGCCATAATTCAGCTTGTGTTTCCTGAGAAACTGTGGGTAGTCTCTCATTCTTTTTCCAACCTGAGCCAGCCTTGGAATGGATGCAGATCACAGAATCACAGCATGGCTGAGGCTGGCAGAGACATCTGGGTCCATCCACTCCACCCAGAGCAGGGTGCCCAGGCCCATGGCCAGGTGGCTTCTGGAGATCTTCGAGGAGGAGACTCCACAGCCTCTGGAAAACCTATGCTAGTGCTTGGTCATCCTCACAGCACAGAAGCACATTTTGATGTTCAGACAAACCTCCTGTGTTCCACCTTGTGCCCACGGCCTCTTGTCCTGATACTGGGCATCACTGGAAAGAGCCTGGCTCTATACTCTTTGCACCCTCCCTTCAGACATTTATGGACATTGATATTGATGAGATCCCCCTAAGCCTCCTTTCCTCCATGCTGAACAGCCCCAAGATGCTTGTATGCTAATGATAACCTGACCCTACAGGTGGAGGATTCTTCCCAATTTTGTTTTCCTTCTCTCTGCAGTTATGACTCAACTTTCCCCTCACCTGGAGGGCCCCTCATCAGGCTGTGTTCTGTCTTTCGTTGTTCCATTGTTGAACTTCCCCTCCTACCACGGTAAATCCTCTTTCAGCATCACCCATCACTTCTGGCCTTGTGCATATAATCTGATATCCATGGGACTTCCAATGCACGCGCATCTGCTCCCAGCATTTTGTCCATTTCTACTACCATAAGCTTTGCTGATTCTCTCTTTATGCTTCGATTCTTTTCCCCTTTTTCCCCGCTTCAAGTTGCATACTGGCATCAACTCATCTGCAACAACTGTTCTTCCACAACTGCCACCACGAAGTTGTTCTCTCCCTTTTCCATTCACTTGTTCCATGCAGCACTTAGCACAGCTGGCATCTGGCCTGTCGACAAGGCATCGTGAGCACTGCACTGAATGCAAATATAATCACATGGCTGGGGAAGTTGTTCCTGCCATTCATGTGAACAGTTAACTGCTTTTGTTAATTAACTTTTCACTGCCATGGAGTTTTGTAGCAATCGTTATGCTGGCTGAGACGGACCCTCTCCTGCAGGAATGGTTGAATAATAGCACCAGCTGAGCATGTTGTAATTATCACAGCCTCAGCACTGGGGAAATATAAGACTTCTGGTGGGTGGAAGCCATTGCCTCTTTCTTTTCCTGTGTGCCCAGGCTTATCACAGGATGTCATTCAAGGTTAAAAAGCTTAACATCCCTGCTGGTCATGCCTTTCCCCCTGGAGAAGACATGTGATGGATATGATAAAAAAGAGTTGTATTTCAGCTGTGCAGTCCGTTCAGGCTTGTCCTTCTCTACCTTACCCAATGGTGTCCCAAAACCGACATGTGACCCTATGCACATGAGGGATTAATCACTTGGATTCCATTTTAGTGACATGGAGATCAAGGAGGCAAGCAAAGAGAACCACAGCTATATTGCTTGCCCCACATCTGAGGGAGCGTGCTGGACTTCGGTTTTGCCACTGTAATGTGTAAATCATTAAAGAATGTTGACTCTAGTTGTGTTTGAGAACTACTTGCCCTGCAGCTTCCTGTGCCCCTTTCTCTTGCCTTTTAGTGATTTCTTCATTGTGTGTTATGCAAATAGGTGAACATATTTTTCTTGTTCCTATACACTAATTTCCATTCCTTTGTTCTCCTCTTGATTTCTGAAAGGATGCCACTAGGTATTTCTGCTTGAATGCTACATTTTCTAACATGAACATGTCTGACCCTCTATTTATACATCTTTAACAGCCCTTTATATTCTTTATCTGCATCTTGCTGTGAAATTCAGCCAAGATCAAGTAGAGGAAGGCAATGGTTCAGACTTAAACCAGATCAGTAATAACATTAATGCTTAAGTATAACACCTAGCAATTCCCAATGATGACTTTGTACTGAGTTTGCACCTGGAAATCCAGTCTTGCCCTCAGTCCTGAGGATGTATGTGGCTTGACTCAGTTTACCTACACTTGGGACTGAGGCACTGCATGCTCTGCAGACAGCCCTGCTGTGATGGTACTGGCAAAGTTCCTGGATTCCGCAGCAATCTGGTGTAGGCAAAAGCCAATTCTGCCTCTGCTTCTTTTCTACTTTAACAAAGGATTTGTTTAATTAAATCACTATAACAATTAACAATAAGGACAATACAATCGTATCTGTGTTCAGTCATTAAATATCACTTTCCCTTTATTTAGCAACCTCGCTTTTCAGTACACCACAGTGTTCACTTTTGAGTTAGATTTATTTGTTGGCGTGTTGTTGGTTTTTTTTTTACATCATCAGAGTTTCCCTCTGTTGTGGCATTTGTGAAAAGGACTCTCCCTCAGGCAAAATCAACAGGATACTTTATAAAAAGGACATTGCTGTTTAAACGACGAGGAAGTGCTTGTACGAAAAAGCAGGCTAATAATGAACACTCATTCCTAAGTTTATACATGAGATCTCCATGCTGCCTCTGCTCTTATTTGCTGATGGTTAAATATTATTGTTGCCTAGAACAGAATTTGTCTGTGTTCTCCTGTCTGCACATAATCTGTTGATTTCTTCTTTCTTTCTATACTATCTCTGCTTCACAAATACAAGTAAAAAAAGATTTTTGTTAAATAGACGCAATATTATTTTGCTGTAATGTAAAAAACACCCATAGAATTGTGAACTTATTTTTGGCACTCTGAATGCAGTGCACAGTTCCAGCTTTGCTGAACATTAAAAATGCAAATAATTTTTATGTAAATTCCTTGGACGAAGTAACTAAATAGGCTATAGTTTTCCTTTGCCTGGACTGACCTTTTGACTAAAACTCTGCCAAAATTTTACAGATTTTCCTATGGTCTGTTCTCCAAACAATGAGATCCAAAAGCTGCCAGACTTTTCATTAATTGGTTCTTCAGTGATGTTAGAAAAGCAAGAATATAAGCCTGAATGTGTTTGTTTACTTATCATCTGCTGCTCCTAAACTTCAGGTTCTACGTTTATCCAACAAACAACTTTTCCTCCATTATCTCAACACTACAGGGTATTCAACATTTTTCTTTCCTCTCCTTGGAGACTTTTGGCCATTTGCTTTCTCTCATTACTGCATTCCTAATACTGAGTGGAGTACTCCCCTTTCCTCGGGATGGCCCTTCTGGGGATGAATGGATGGCTTGGGAAAGAAAAGACGAACTTTGGTTAGCACAAAATGTGTACGACGGTGGCTCCGTTGTGTGGGGCAGCTCTGGGAAGACAGAAGAGCTTCGGTCAGTATGGTAAAGAATAGAAAGTCAGTGTTAAAGAAAGCAATCAGATGAACCTATAAAGAAAATACAACTATCCAAAATTCGTTCTCCTCCACCTCTTTCCTGGCTGGCTCCCCGAGAGTCACTGCTGTTGTTTGCCACGTCCCCGGGCAGGAAGGAAAGCGGGGTGAGATCCTCCAGAAGGGCAACTCGTTGCTACTCCTGCAGGGCCACCCCCGGTCCCGCAGCCGTCACAGCGACATGGCTCCGCGTCCTCTGCTGCCACCTAGTCGCCTGCTGGGGCACTGCCTGGTTAGCACGGCCAGGACAGACAAATATGCTCCCATTAGCAGAAAGGCAGCCGCTGTCTGCTAATGAGAACTTATGCTAAGTCAAGGTGGACGAACGTTTGAGCTCACCCTCAGGCTGGCTAATGTGTCAAGCCCAAGGCTCAACACATCGTGACCAGCAAAACCAGTATCATGGCTCTGCTGGGCTTGTGCATTGTGCCAGCTCCCTCACTAACCTTCTCTGCTGTCCAGTGGTTATTCTTCTTCCCAGATACTACCCTTCCAGGCTTTCCTTCTTCCTGGCTTTTCCCCCTTCCTACCCTGGCATAGAAAGTTTATGGCAGAAGACTCAAGAACCAACAAGGCTGCCTTGGGAAGGCTGCAATGACGACTTCCTCTAGTTTCTGAAGATTGTTTCATGGAATCACAGAATCATTTCAGTTGGAAGGGACCCTTCAAGGTCATGCAGTCCAAGTCCCTTGCAATGAACAGGGACACCTACAGATAGATCAGGTTGCTCAGAGCCCCATCCAGCCTGACCTTGAGTGTCTCCAGGGACAGCACTTTCACCACCTCTCTGGGCAACCTGTTCGAGTGCCTCACTACCCTTATTGTAAAAACCTTTTTCCTTAAATCCAATCTAAATCTCCCCTCTTTTACTTTGAAACAACTTCCTCTTGTTCTACCAAAGCAGACGTTGCTAAAGGGTCTGTCCCCACTAAAGATTTTGTCCCCTTCCTTTAAGCAGTCCCTTCATGAAGACACAGAAGGAGCACTCCAACTCATTCAAGCCCTTTTTTTTTTTTTTAATTGTTTAATAGCCCATAAAGTAAAATAAATCCATGAGCTTAAGAACGTTGTTTCAGCTGAAAGCATCTGCATCAACATCACAGTGACTTTGCCTCCTGTTGGTGTGTCCTTGAGGTAAGTATACACATTATTTTTTATTCATCTTCATGAGTTTGGACAAGCGCTGCGCTCAGCCTTCAAAAGTCACTGTAGGTCCAACTCTGCAGCAGCAATGTAGTATGTGGGATCAAACAAGGTAAGCTCTGAGCTTGTAACAATTAATTTTTTAGCTTTTTTCCAAAGTAGAATAAACAACATTAACCCAGGAAAGCCAATTATCTTGTAATAATACCTACAGGGCCCATAAATGTTGAATAATTTAGAGTAAACTTTGCATTGAGTGCCATGAATTAAAATCTTAAAAAAAAAAATCTAATAAAAAAGAATCAAATCAGCTAGCTCGGCCTGAAATATCTACTCCAGGACTCTGTGTTTAAGTCATGCTATCCTCAGCCTACGTTTCCATCTCAAAGAGTGGCCATCTGCTCCAACTCACAGGGTGAAGTCCAGCTCAG